CAAACCAGCATGTCTCTTTGACCTTTAGTAGTATTTTACCCAACATGTCACCTCTGAGCAGCAGGCCCCTGTCAGGAGAGCCGTTGGACCATGACCTGTATACAGAGACTGTTGATAGCCAATTGGCTCGTTAATTCATTGACCACTGAAAAGTAAATTAGTAACAGCAACTAGTTGGACAGACTCAAACCCTATGCCAGCGGTGGCCACCTCCAAATGGTTCCCTGGTGCCATTGACTCAGATCTGGGGCATTGACCTTACTTTCTTGAATGGCGTATCTATTGTGTCTTCTAATTTATCTCTTGACACACTCTATAGTGGTACAAATAGCTTGTTTCAAGGCAGTAGTGCCTGGGTTAAAGGTCATTAAAGCAGGTGAGAAGATAGATGCTCAATGTGATGCTAGTGGAGAATATTGAAAGGACATGGACCGTCAAAAGGACAAGCAAGTCTGTCTTGGAAGAAGTATGGTCCGAATGCTCCTTGCAGGCAAGGATGGTGGGACTTTGTCTTACATACTTGGGACATGTTTTGGGGAGAGAGACCAGTCCCTGGAGAAGGACATCATGCAGGGTAAAGTAGAGGGGCATCACAAAAGAGGAAGGCCCTCAACGTGATGGGCGGACGCAGTGGATGCGACAATGGGCTCAGGCAGAAGACCCATGGTGAGATGGAGCAGGACCAGGCGGCGTTTCGTTCTGTTGTGCACAGTCTCTATGAGTCAGAGCCGACTCAGTGGTACCAGCGACGACAAATGCTCAACCCCAATGCGCTCAACTACCATCTGAAGACCCTTAGGCAAATTATTTACCTATCCTGACCCTCCCTTCCCTACTTGTATCGTAATGATGGTAACACATGCCGTCGAGAGTGGCTCGGAAATTACCTGCCTTCCCTCACTGCCACGGAGCGATTCTGACTCAGAACGTCTGGTAAACGGGCAGGTCCCTGTTGTCAGGGGAGGCAGGGTGAATTGCTTCCCCCGTGTGAGGCATCTGCTTACATTTCGTTAAAAAAAATCATTTAATTGGGGGCTCATACAACTCTGATCACAATCCATCGTGGCAAGCATATCTGTAGATGTGCTTGCATTTCTTCCTCCCCTCGAGGCCGGCTAAAGCACTGTTTCCCCATCAGCACTTTCGACCTTCAGGCCCATTGCTGTGAGGCTGTCCTGTGCCTTAGGGAATGTTCAGCGGCAACCCTGGTCTCTACACACTAGATGTCAGTAGCACTTCAAGTGTGACAGACAAGCAAACTGCCATCAAGCCAAAAAAATAAGCACAAAACTCACTGCCATCAAGTCACAGTGACCTGGTAGGACAGGGTAGAACTGCCTCTGTGAGTTTCCAAGACTATAACTCTCTCTTTACCGAAGTAGAAAGCCCCCTGCTCGCCCCCCACCCCCACCCCCGGAGCAGCTGATGGTCTTCAACTGCTGAACCTGCAGACGGCCCCCAACTCGCCCCACTTGAGAACCATTAGTGTGCAGCGGGCTTGTCCTGGGGGTCCAAAACTTCCAGCACCCAGAAGGACTTCGTAGGCAACTTCCCATTTACGTAGCTATAAAAATCTTGGCAAGTGTTCATGTGATATTGATCTAGCTTACTTAGCATATTTGTCAGCTGAGTGGGATGGGCATCACATTCATTTGGTAGAGCGACTTGCTGGAGAGCCGTTAGCTGTAAAACCTAGCTCTCTGGATCCCTGAACTCTTTCTAAAAGGATCAGTTGACAGAAGGAATACAAACACTGCCTCTAAATTCGTTACCACGCTGAAGAAGTTACAAAGAAGGAAGGAGAATGAATCTTCCCTGTTCCGTGCTTACTGAACCACCTGTTTGCCAGCAGCTGTAGCAAAGTATCCCCACACCGCTGCTGCCCTGGCTCACTTCTGCTCTCTTCCTGAGTTTGCTCATCAGTGGTTACTTTGCTGTGGCTTAGTGGT